GAGAGGAATTCTGTGGGGAGGCTGAGGCTGCAAAGCGAGGTCCATCCCCTGCCTCCCCTCCCCAGCAAACCCTGACCGGGCGGTCAGGGGGTGAGACACGTCCCCGAGCTCTGAGCAGATTTTGTGACCTTCAGCAAAGCTCTGGCTCTAGCGGTATTTTGGCTCCTTCCCCAAGAAGGCTTTAAATTCTCTGTGCCTCTTAAGATCAAGGAGACAGTGAACCTGTGCTTCGCGCCTGCTCCCCGAGGAGCGGGCGAAGAAGGGGGGTGGGGGACACGATAATCCTAGTCAACTCTTGCAGTATTGGATCACTGTATGCCATTAAAAAACAGCTTGTTCTAGGTCTAATGTCTTCTGCAAATGGGTGTCTGTGAAGGCCTCTGGCCCCTGCCAGCCCTGCCTGAAAGAAATGCCTGCAATGAAATGGTGTCCGATAAGACGGTGTCTGCAGTGGGGGGGGTTCGAAACTGTGGAAATTCGACATTGTAAACGTAGATTTGGCGACTGGAGAGGGCAGATGATGAAGTGCGAGTACTAAGGCTGTTACTAGGGTGGGGGGACGTCAAAAAAAGGAAAGGCTGAACTTGTAAAGGCGATGTGATTGCAGTTTCTGGGTCAACAGTGGTGAAGACAACGGAGTGCTGCTAGTGCTGCTATTGTGATATTCTTGCAAAAGGAAAATAACTAAACCAAAGAGTATTCAGTGAAACAGAGCGTGCATGAGAAGGCGATGGGGAAGGGATGGAAAGGGGGGGCTGAGCAGGAGAAAGGGGACCTTTTCTCTGGGTCAGCATCCCCCAGGTGCACAGTGCTCCCACTAAATGATACTTGAGATATTTGAGGGAGGGGTGAGGGATGGGGGACGGGGACCGCAGGATTCAGCTCATTTCTTTGAAGCAAAAGAAATTCAGAGGGAAAAAAAAAATCCCCTCCCCCTTAACATTTCTGGTGCAGAGGTTTGGGGGTGTTTTTTGTTTGTTTTTCAAGTCAGTTTTCCAGAAATATTTTTAAAATGTACATTTTATAAAGTTTATCAAGTATTTTCATATTTAAAGCCAAATGTAAATAGAAGTCTGTAAAGGAGGACAAGGAGAAGAAGAAAAAGAAAAGGCCACAAAAAGTATAAGTTCTGCTCGGCGGTCTCGGCTAGCTAGTACCTAGATGCTACCGGTTAGCATGATTTTTAGCAAACACTTGCAAGCCTTATAGGATTCCTAAAGCTATGAACTTCTCTTTATTTATTTTTAAGCATGGACTTTGAATTTGAAAACATGTTCTAATTACTGGCATTTTTAAAAATTACCAGCTTTCTGAAATGCTAGTCTTTTCGAGGGTGTGCATTGAGGTAATCCATTACGCTCTCTGCCGCATTCTTTTTCCTTTTTTTTTTTAATAACCCTTTGTCTTTGCCGACTGACTCTTACATTGCAGAATTGCACTCAGCCTCTGGCTCTGGGAAGCTGCTAGAAAGAGACCTGCAATGTACACTCCATGGTACCCTTAAGCCTTCTCCATCATTTCTCTCTTTCTCAACGTGCCGTGGTAAGCCCGGTATGGGACAGACTATTGTAGCACACTTCTACAGCAGCAAATCGGGTCAATCATTTTGAAAAATGTTATTATTAAGGACTACAGAGTGACTGACAGCGCTTCTTCAGTTTCTGATGGTCTGGAGCCAAGCTGATGCTTAATTAGGGGCCCTTTAAACTGACTGAGTTCTACCCGCAGACTCGGTTCGGCCTCTTTATCAAGGATAAAGTTGGCTCAACCGGCTCGCACGGAAGGTTTATACTGTATTTTGCTTAGGGTCTGGGGGGGAATATGTTATTTCTGCCCTTCCCTGAAAATACTTGAATGAGACAAATTGTCTACAACACAATACTACGTACAGTGACAAAAAGCATTTCCGAGGCAGGTGGGGATGGATCTCTCCTTTCCTCCGTTCCTTCCGTGCAAGTTCTCCTTGTTAGCTGCGTTTCACAATGCTCTCTCCCGGCCATGATAAACTTCTGTGGTGTTAGTTCAGCCCTCACTCTTCTCGGAAAAGACAAAGGGTCCAGACGTTTTATTTGTTCTCTTAGGTCTTCTTTTTCATAATGGATTACAAGGTAAAACTGAGAAGTACTGTAATGTCTTTAAATTATGGCTGCTCACGACCATTGTAAAGTAGGAGGGTGCCGCGTAGTTGCCATCCCACAGCCAACGAGAAACGGATTTTGTAACGACTTTTGGCCTGCAGCTGTTGCAAGGTGAACAATCTCGGCATCTGACAGTTGTCCATTACTATTTTCCTGTTTGCAGCCTTTTTGTATCAAAGTCTTCCTAATGTACTGCACAAATCGTGGATTGTACAGATTTTTATATATTATGTCTTATTTTATTATTTCTAAATAAATAAAAAAAAAAATTGAGAATGAACTGATGTGTGCAGCTTGGATGTAAATGAACCGGGGAGATGGGTCTGGAGGTCATTACACGGCCGTGGTTGTGGCTGGGGGAGCACGTCATGGTCCGAAGCGCTTTAGGAAGGGACAGGTCGTCCTCTGCCTTGACAAAAGGCAGGAGGAAAGGTGATACCATCCTCGTTTCCCAGATGAGAACACGCAGTGCAGTGTAAGGCAACTTGCACCGAAGGAAGAGCCGCCCCACAGAGACTGAGGGACTTTCTTCAGGTCAGAGCCGGGACCGCAGAACTCCCTGTCATTACCTGCGAGTTGTCCCATATGGAGAAAAAACTCGGAGTCTGCGTAAACTACAAAGCTGTGGGGACGGGGAGGGGGGGGAATGACAACACCGAGCATCAGCAAGTGCATTGAAAGATTTGGAAAGGGATTAAAAAATTAATCAGGAAACTCATCTTCAAATCCCGTGTTTCGTGTCTGCCTGTCATCTCCCCTCGCCACAGCGATGCTCCTCAGCTCAGCCCGGTTCCGAACGCGCTCGCTGGAATCTTCGTCTCCTTCGTCTGGAGTCCTGAGCCTGATGCCGTAAGCGTGGAGCTGGGTTTTCATGGAACGGGACGGGGAAGCATAACGGGGATGGGCCTCGAGGAACCAAAAAGAGACTCCATACCCTTATTAGTCTGGGTTGGAAAGCTCCTTTCCCGCTGTTTGTGTGTGGCCTCCGGGGCAGATATTGAGGCTGCACAACTGTGACTCAGCTGGAAACTGCTGATGTAACCGGAATCAAACGCACTGCAAGGGCTGAGGACGGCCGTGAAGTGTTGCAACGCAGCTTTGCCCCCTCTGCTGATTTTTCAAACACTTATCGGTCCGTCATGCTATTAAGTGATGCCTCGGATGGAGCCCTGACCTTATCTAGGAGGACTCCATTTATAAATTCAAATTTATTTTTCAAATCTAATGGTCTCTTGGAAAGCTTATAATAATAATTACAGGGCTGGATTTAGAGATACAGATTAGCTGTCACAGCCTGGATCTGCTTATTCTCCCTCCATCCTCTGCACGAGCTGCTCACCGCTCTGACCCCGGCTTCGATGTTTGCTGCAGGGGCGGAGGGCTGGGGGGCACCTTCTGCGCAGCCTGCCTGGGTCGCACCCCTTGCCTAAATCGTCAGCACCCTCTCCTGTCAGTGCCATCTCCTTCTCTTGCTGGTCAGGTGGAGTCAGAATAAATACAGCAACGAAACCCGGCTGGGGCGTTTCGGTAGCTAGCAAGGTAAGAGCTGAGCCCTTCTCCTTCCGTACCAGCTGGATGCACCCAGCAAGCACCGAGCAGGCGCTGCGGGCTGCAAGCTTGTGCTCCCCGAATCTAGACGGCAGGAGTGAAACGACGCGGCGTTGGCATGCCAGCAGGAGCAGGGACAGGCGAGGCTGCTGATGTGGGAAATTTTGAGCCAAAGGTGAAAGCACACAGTGAGGAAGACTATGAGCCTTCATCCAGAAGACCCCCACAGACGACCACCAGACAACACTGCACCAGCGCTAAAGAGGGGCGGAGTATGATGATGAATTCCTAGAAATAATTACAATAGTCCAGCCTACTTAGATAAGCTTTGTAATAAATAGGTGCATGCTTTGTGACTCGGTGTGCAAATTAGGAGGAGCGATCCCCCTTGCACCCGGCGCCGTAATAAACACACCTGCTTTATAACTTTCCATGAGTTGTGGAGTTTATCTCCGCACATCACCTCTGGGTTTCTGTTTCTTTCTCGCTGGGTGCCTGTGCCCTCAGCAGACGGCACGGGAAGGTGCGTGAGAGCAAGCTGCGTGAACCAACTGTTCCCTCTTTTCCCAGTTTTCTCATCAAACTAGGAGCGCTCGCTGACCCTTTTGATGCGCCAAGCTCAAGCCGAAGTCTCCAGGTTTCGCTGCTGCGAAAAAATGTAGAATAATGTTTAAAGAAATGTCCACTCTTTCAAAATGTTTCAGCTGAACAGGGGAGCCCGCTTCGCAGCTCGGGATCCCTGGCAGGCA